ATTAATCCAAATGTATTTGTATAGCTTGTGTTCATAAATCCTTGGATCTGCAAGTTGTGTCAGTAACATGTATTGATGAGACGTTAATGTGATGAAGAGGGATCAGAAGCTCCATGTGTCACGTTCAATGCCAATCTTGGCCTGTAGCAGCATAACTAAGAGCTGGTCCGAGAACCAACTCTAACTATATAAACTTTATCAAAAAGAAAAGATTAAATGTAAAGAGGGGATCTGCTGAAAGTGGAAGATGATTCCACAGCAGAGGAGCCTGAGAGCTGTTTTCAAGTTATTTTCATTATCAAATTAGTTGAGTGATAGTTGTTTGTATATCCATGGTTATATGACAAAACTCATCTGCTAATGGCTAATTTAGCATAGTTTTAATAGTGCCAATTTGCCAAGATGTAAACAAATACATTTCAAAAACAAGTTAAAAATCAAATTTCAAGAGGACCAGTCATTGAAATTGTATCATTTTTGGGATAAGCATGAAAAATCAACCCATGGCCTTAAACTGACTGACCAGCACAGGCAATGATAGAGAAATACATCCAGTCAGAATGGGGCTCTTGCCAGAGTGGAGACCCTCAGCTGCAATGGGAAAGTATTTCTGGGTGTTCACAACTGAACTGAGATGTCAGCATTTCCACATCACATTAATTTAGACCTCCTTAACACCGTCAGACCTTCACAACATTGTAACCCTGGTTCTCTGAGTAAAGACACGATGTCTCCACCTTGAGCTTGCTCAGAATCAGGTTAATCAAGGGAAACCATAATGTTCTATGCACACTCATGCTTTATTTTGTGTGTGTGCCTCTTATTGTGGTGTGTCAATTATTCATGTTATCTGTCAGATGGGGACATTCCCTCATACATATGGAATATGAAGCTGGGTGGAGCGAGACCTCTCTGGTCCCAGCAGAAACCAGCGGTCTTATTAGCAGCAGAGCAGCAGAGCCGTGTTCACCAGGCTGACTATCTCACATTTAAAATAGTTTTACAGGACGCTCTATGACGAGTAAACAGAATGAAACATCTGAATTTATCGATCGATTCATTTTTTTTTCTGCCCACTACAGGAGCTGTACTGTTCAGCATAAGCCCGTCAGTGAAACTGGAAAGCTCATAAAGATGCTGGATCGATAACATGGATCAAAACATACATACAGAGGGAGATGTGTGATTTGAACAGCTGTCTGTGGAGATTATGTTTCACTTCACCAGAGGAGAAAAGAAAAGAAAGAAGTCTTTGAGTTAACTTTTTTCTAAAATGCTGGTGTATATAATACAAACAAATTAACAGATGTCAATCACAAAATACACAAATATTTAATCACCAAAACACGCACACACACAGGGGCAGCTTGTTCACTAACCAGAAGGTCGTGGTTTGGGTTCACTCTCCCCCATTCCGCACAGCAAAGTGTCCATGAACCTCACATTGCCCCTGGCGACTGTGCATGAGGGCCGTGTGATAGAAAAAGTGCTGCACATATGAATGTGTTTGTTAATGGATGGATGGACAAACTGTACCATCGGAGGGTGCAGGTGCACTAATGTCCTGGCTGTCAATAATGTGCATTACCAAACTATTGAGGAAACATCTATCACACATCTCTCTGCACCTAGACAATACCTTTGTGATGTTTTAGGACAGGCACAGCTGGTGGTTTGTGGGTCTGGTCGGGTTCAGGTTGTTGGCTAACACATATTTCTCTGGGTCGGGTGATGCAGACTGACAGCATGCTATAGGAAGGCTTAGCTTCCCTTAACATTTTATTAGTTCTGCCTTTACACAAACACTGTAAGTAGTTGACATAGTACATTGTAACACACTGTCAATGTGATACTGCTGCTCAACGTGGTAACCAAATTAAAAAAAATCTGCCAATTTACAAATATGAGTAATAAACCATGGCTCTGGAGAATATGATCATTTGTGGTCAGTGATGCAGGTACATTAAGGAATTGATTCATATATCCAGAGTACCTGTACAGCGTATTTTGATACTTTCCCCATCTGGTTTTAGGAATATAAGTCATTGTTTGTTCAGTTGTTGGGGCCATTTATGTAACACTTTGCTACATTGACATTTTGCTCTGATATCTCCAATTATTCAGTCACTGTGGATATGACAACTTAAGCACATTATCCGAGACTACAGGCTACAGCTGGTAATACCCACGCACCTCACAGACACACAATTATGCATGGCAAAGCATTTAACCAGAACAGTAAGTGTCAGACGGCTGCCTGGCGAGACCAGAAAATCACAGGGAAACCCCCCACCACCAGTTTGACTTGTATGTGCATGTGTTCTTGTTCTACTAATAGGCTAGAGAAGACATCTGTCAGATGTATCCTTTTTAAAATCATTAAAAATAATAATGTGTCTGGTTAATGTCAAAGAGTAAAGGGTCAGATGATACTTGTTCGCAAAATATAAGAACCAAATACACAAACATGCTGCAAAAACTCCAAACACAACCAAATCAGAGAAAGAATTAAGTACATAAATGTGCAGCACTTAGCACTGATGACAGAAGTACAAGGGAAAGAAGAAAGTGATAAACCTGGAATCTGGAACGTGCCGTGTTTTATCGATTTTTATGTTTTGTCTACTTGCATGTGTTTTCTTAAGTACTGGTGCGATGAGCTTTCAGGCCCACTGCATCCCAGTCTATCACAACTCCTCTGATGAGGCTCTAATGATTATTTAAAAAAGCCCAGTCGCCATCTTATTTCTTCTGGTAGGCTGGTTGTTCATCAGGGCCTTTTCTATGCAATAATGGAAATGAAGAGACTAAGTTGGTCAAAATTCTCTTAGTGGTTCTATCATTGCTCATAATTAAGTCAATAAATTGAAGATGATGATTCAAAATTGGCCAAATAGGAAATTGGGGAAGAAAATGAGACAAGGAGAAAGTGCAGAGGAGAGAGAGAGAAGGAATCTCATGCATGGAGGCACAAGAGCAATTTAAAGTTGCTGTCAGTTTTCAAGGACACGGCAGCCTTTTGTGCTATAAATGAAATGAGCAGTGGTCCAAGTCCTGATAATAGATCAGTCTTATGAGTCCAGCGGGGGCTGTGAATAATGTAACACCGCACTCATGTAAAATGTGTCTGCAGTCGTGGTGACAATGAACTGCTTCTATGTGTTTAAGACGGTCAAGTACTAAAAGGGTCACGCTCCCTTATACACTATAAATAAGATTCAAAACAATTAACAGCAGCCAAAACTCTGCCAAATGTGTGGTGACTGGTAACGTTGTCCACTGTGTCTGCTACTTCTCTGCACATGTAAAAATAACTAAGGGCCTGTGTGTGCAATTTATTTTCACTCATAAAAAAAGTGCACAAAACTGCTTTTAAACGATCACATCAAGTAGAACATCTTAAAGAGAGACTGGAAGAAAGCTTCGTTGTAAAAGTGAAACCAAAGCTCTAATTGACAGTCATTTTGTTTTCCCTACCCTCCTGCTATCAGGGTGTAGTTGTAGCTTGGTGACCAGCAATCACTGTATTTCACCTGCAGGGCTTTATGGGTAATTGAGACCAGGCAGAACTGTGCAGTGGGAGGCTTAATTCACCTTATCAGTCACAGCAGATGTGGTGGAGGACCCAGTTTAGGAGCCTCTAATACCAGGACTCAGACATTGAGTTGCAGGGAAAAGCTTCACAAACTCTCCAGGATAGATATTTCACTGCAGATAGCATCAAATTCTCAATGGTCACTCAGATTGCTAACACCAGGCCTTCTGTACAGTTGGTTTGACTGATGGAAGCCTCTGGTTCTGCCACTCTTAAAAACATCTCTGTTCGAGGGCCATGGCTCATGTAAAGTCCTCCAACTGGGAAAGGATTGGACTGAAGATATACAATCTCAATGTAATTCATTTGGATATAGGCACTGTAAAGACCGGCACTGTGTACAGGGTTCAATATTTGATCATCAGGATGGAGCAACGTTGCTCTGCCTTTATCCTATTTTCCTCTGGACAGATATCTTGATTTTTACATGATGTTTGGTGTCTGTTAATGTGTTGATAACAACAATCAAGTTGGAAGAATTAAAGCTTTTAAGCCTAACTATGAATCTGTCCAGAGGCAGCTGGCCTCAAGGTTAAAGGAGTGGGTTCCAGATCACACGGTTAAATCCCTGGACAAGTATTCTTATTCTCATCTGTAAGCATTCTCCGTTGTCCAGGTCATGGTTATCCAAGCATATTTGAAACAAGGGTGACTGGACTTGGTTTAAGATTCTTGAAGATGTTTCCCCTCTCATCCGAGAAGCTTCTTCAGTTCTGACTGAACCTCAGGTATTTAACCTGTCAGGTTGTTATCAAGGGTATTGATGTCACTTGATTCTGAGTATAAATGGCTGGTAAATCTCCCGGGATGGGATAAAAGTACTGTTATTATAAGATGTGGTGCTTGTGAAGGATCTTCTCGATTTACCCAGATACTCCGGAGACATATGGGATGCCAATGTTGAATTGTTCCACTACCTGCAGTGTTGGTGTTCATCCTGGACTTTGGGACCAGTTTCACAGGCACAGTGAGAGTAATTGCAAGCTTTAAGTGCATTCTTCAGGCGTTTGTGTTTCATTTCCTGATGCTGGACAGCTCGGTGTTGCAGGATTCTGAAAACTCCTTTAGCTTGTGTTCCAGTGGGTGATGAGTCCAAATAAGCCGAGTTTTTGTTCTTGAGATACTCTTGTTTGAAGATGTTGTTTCTGTCCACTGAGTTGATTAGTTCTGTGGGGGCTTGCACTTCCCGGGTTCTAATTTCGAGTCAGGTGCAGTTCCTCTGACGGAGGTCAAGGCCTGGCTGTACTTCCTTCAGGTAGAGGCTTGCCACAGTTGGAGATATCTACAAAATCAGCCTGCAAAACCCTCTCTTGTGTCCCTCTTTGTACTAAAGTATTATAAAAAACTTTTTATACACATCGTCCACTCTTAACCTTTGTGTCTCTCTCTGTCCCTCTCTCTGCAGGACCTGGGTGGGGGGAGTCCTCCGCAGAGGAACTGGAAAGGGATTGCCATTGCTCTGCTGGTCATCCTGGTGGTCTGCTCCCTCATCACCATGTCTGTCATCCTCCTCACACCAGGTAACATATGCCCTGGTTCTAGAAGTTTGTTACATCATCTTCTGGCTGTATTTTGGATAGCCCTCCTAACCCTGATCCCATGAGTCATCTGTAGATCATTGCAACCTTTAGTTATGTTTTATAAAGTGACCTCTGGCCCCTAAAGTGGAGATGATGGGGGCAAGTCAGATGACGGCGTATAAAGATTCCACTGATGGAGGACGTTTGGTTTGACAAAACACAGAACTTCCAACCAAGAGACTGCTGTTGTTTCCCTTGTGAAACCAGGAATTAACATTATGTCTTTGCTTCATGACTTATCAATATGTTATAAAAATGTAACCATGAAAACAAAGGTCCTGCAACCTTAAGCAGAATGTGAACATTGTGTTTACATTTGTCAGGTGGCCTGTCACACAGCCCCGAGACCACTGTGAATGTAAAGTGTAAAAAGTTAGGTATTTCAGGCATATTTTTAAATACAGTACCCGAGTAACCCTAAAACCAATTAACAATCCAAAAGAAAAGCTGAAACTTAATATATAACATATATTTCATGTGAGACCCCTCAGGCCACTAACCTTATTTATAACCGTTGTGTGTGCATGAAACGTCAGGCCTAAAACATGCGTATGCCAAGTTTGCGCATTTCCACGCAAACTCTGACCCATGCGTACAAACATTTTGGAGACGGGGAAAGTGGCGATGCAGACGTGAGGTGGTGAACTGAAGCAGATTATTGATCCACTTCATCATTTACATTAAAACCAACAGCGTTAGTTGTGCTTGCACAACATAACTGTTTCATAAGAACCTTCGATAGAAAAATATATAAAACAACTTACAACACATTACGTCCAGATACCATTAAACAGCAGACTTGCAGAGTCATAAATGTTTTATCTTCTAGTATCTTCTAACACTGTGCGTGTATCATTAAGAACGAGTGTGTGTAAAAATACTGCAGTGAACGTGACTGTGCCATCAAGTGCACAGAGTGCACACTGGAGATCACTCGCAAAAATAAAGAAAAAATTTCAATTTCAAATTTTTTAAAATAATATCCCAGAGTGAAGGTTAGGATCCACAGAGTGAAGTAATCGGCCCGATGGCTCTAAATATCTAAACACTGAGGTAACACTCTTGCGTAATGCTGTGTGATGGAAGCACGCGAATGGAAGGATGAGGAGGAAACAAAGTTTCAGGGATGACTGATCAGCTGATATAGATTCTATAGATCTGTGATCTTTGTGCTGAACTGAGTCCAGTATTAGATCGACTGATGGAACCGAACCATCCCACTACAAACACAAGCATAGAATAATAATGCTGTTAAATTCTATATATACTGGGGACATCACAGCTGTCTCTGAATTTAATAATCCTGCAGTTTTGGATTATTAAAATACGAACAGATGACAAGTTCCCTCACAGTCTGAGAGTGTGAAGTGATTCTTTTTTTGCCTCCACCTTTGAATTGGATCTTTTTTAAATTTCTAGCTCTGTTCTTTCTGTCGTCCTCACTCGTACTCACTGTATTAACAGCAGCAGTGTATCAGTGTATTTTCTTTATTAGTGACATCACTGCTGTCCCATTGAAACGCTCTTCACCTCCACCTCACTAACAAACACCTCCATGTCAGTGACAGAGAGTTTCCTTCCTCTTCTCATCGCTTGATGCCGTGACTCGTTCATCACTCGTTCATGACTCACCATGGAGACCCATTGGTCAGCAGGACAATTAAATAATCACGAGGTGATTTAAAATGACCATTTATAGATGAATGTGTGCATGTGATTTATAAAGTGAACATTGCATTCAGGTGTGTGTGTGTGTGCACGGTTTTATAAATCAGAATTTTCTTTTGCGTACGCCAGTTCCGGCTATTCTGCGCACGTACAGTTTTAGTATGAAACCCATGGACTGTTTTATAATATGAGACCCCTGGTGTCTCTGTATACTCCCATGGAGCTAATCACAATTCCTTGTCTGTGTTAATGTATATTGGCTCCCAAAATTATGAAACGACACGCTGGGTTACTCAGATGTAAAATCATTACTAGACACTGCCCATGCAGCCACACTCGTCCCTAGTGTGTTCTACGGTTGGTTAGACTTTCATTGCATCCATAAACAAACTCTGTGTGGAGTTATCAAGGAAAGCCATGGCTGACATTCAAAATTACTTGGCCCTCATATTCTGCTCACAATCAGCAGCACCCCATTCAGAAGGAGCTTACCATTGGCACAGTCTCTTTTATAATTAAAAATGAAACATTTCCAGGGGCACCACTGGAACAGCTTGAAGATTTTCTCGCCAAGTAATGATCATGTTAGTGGACATATGAAATGCCATTGTGAGAAAAAATACTGTTGCATGTGCGTTTGTGTGCGTGTGTGTGTGTGTGTGTGTGCGTGTCTTTACGTACATCTGGTTTGAAAGGACACTCAATGCATCTGTCTGCCAAGCAGATGTAAATGTCCATCTGTCCACTTTTTTTTTCATTTTTCAGGGACAGAGTTATCCCTGTTGAACTTTAAAGAATCCAATTTTAAAAACCAAACTGTAAACCTACATTTATAAACTTCCACATGGGTATAGTGTGTAATGTTTAATTTTTTTATTTGCTTTTGCCAAAAACCCTGGTCTAGTTGATGAGAGCTTGCAAAACTTTACATTAGAGACAAATGCAGGCAGACATGCCAAACAAACCAAATTACACTTTCCACAGGGGTGTCGTTATCCCTCAGAGTTTGTGGCAATGTTGTGTATTATATTGGGCGATATGAATTATGGAATATTGACACATAGTAGATGAAGAACCCCAACATTGATTTATTCAAGAATTATGGTTATGGACAGAGTGGGAGGAATCAGTGCTCTCTGCTGATCAGATCATGTTGTAAAGCTTCACTCTTTCTAAACAGCCTCACATTTACAACCAATAATAGACCACACTCCTGGGTCAAGATTTACAACAGACAAATGTGGTGCAGTTTTTTCTTACTTCTCCTGCACTTCACTGTGTTTTTGAGAACTTTGAGTCACATGTTTGAAGAAGTGACTTGGGAAAACACAGCTCACACTGGTGAGCAAATTCCAAGGTTGACTGTGTATTGATTTTGATCTGTGTGCATGCTCGAAAGCAATTCAGCCGGCTAGACTGAGCTGATGTTTAATCACTCTGTATGATAGCTAGGTTTTACTATGCAACTTTATTTATGGCTTGTTTTTTTGTTTCAGCTGACAGCCAAGCTGGAAGTGACACCAAACTGACTGTGGAGGATTTGTTCAAACCTGAATTCAAGGTCCACGACCCTGAGGCTAAATGGATCAATGGTGAGTTCCCCTGGTAGTACCCCCAGCCATGAATGGAAATGGAGGAAGATATATGTAGAAATGCAGGATTATTTCCATTGACCTTGGGGAAATGTCTGGTATTATGTTTAATGAAATGTGCTTATTTGTTGCTTTTGATTACATATATAGCTGCCGTAAGCCTTTAATTCCTGCCTGTCATTGTTCAGTTGAATTACACAGTGACCTTTATGCTGATTCACATTTATACAAACCACACCCGGACTCTCATTTGACATTAGGACGCCTCGATGACTTCTGATCGCTCTTTGGAAAAAGCAAACAATAGGCCTGCTTTTGTGGAGCAGCAGCAGGGGGATGACATCTCTCTCCCCTGTCTCTCTTTGTAACTGGAGCTGACTAAAAAAAGCCAGCCGACAGTTTTAAACAAGGCTGACATCTTTCACCCTGACTTTACCTTGCATTATGCAAATTCAGACGCTGGAATTTGTTTCCCCTCTGCTTATTTACATTGCATTGATTCCTTATTTGCCAGAAGGGGATCATATGTTAAACCTGGAGGGCTCTGGCTGACAATAAACAAGCCAAGCCAAGTGCAAGTGAATCTGATTATGGTTTGCTGAGAGGGAGAGGGAAGATAAGGATACCTCCGAGGGAAAGAAGGGACAGGATTGTGGCCTTCCCACATCTCTCTCTGCCTGTCTCCTTTCCTGCAGATTAGTGTGTTTGTTTTGGCTTTCCTCTTTGTGGCCCATCAACTGCATGGCTCTCCCTCCACGCCCAGGGGGGGAAGAGAGACAGAGGCAAGGCCTTTCTGTCCATCAATATTTCATTCCCGGGTGACATTTTTCCACTATCTTCGCAACGCCATCTCATTCCCTGAGCTGACCTCAGGCTTGACAGGGAGCAGCGATGTTGTGCGGCGAGGCAGTCAGAAAAGTTAGCTTCATAGGGTGGTTTGTGGATGGATGGGGCAAAACAGAGCCCAGACAAATGGGAGAAGATAACAGACTGACGGGCGAGTGGAGAGATTGATCGCTGGGATTTAAAGCAGAAATGAGATTTTCTTTTTTTCCCCTGAGACAGAGGCTTTGGGTTGAAAGTCTTTCATCTCTCCCAACATTAGAGATAATCTGCAGGCTGACATCACATAGTTAATGAATAATCAAGAGCAAATGAGATGCAGTACAATAACAAACCATACTTGACATCACATTAGTTTCATTACCACAAATATGCCAGTGTCATAGTCATCATCTTCTCTTTAATGTATTGCTCATTTTTTCTTTGTCTAATTTGCATAATTGTATGATTAACTATTTTATTGATTATCATTCAAATTTTTTCCCCAAAATGTTTTCATTGTATAGCAATGCAACAGTAAAAAAAAAGTAATCTATAATAAAAGAAAGGGGGGAGCAAGAAAATGAGCAAAACAACTGGTGTATATGGGTAATTTTATCTAAATGCGATTAATATTTCTGGGGACAGTTGTTTTCCGAACATTAACACTCTGCTGCTGAACCTCAGCATCAAAAGGAGTTGACGTCTGTTTGAACAAGCTATGATGTGTTGAAATATTTAGAACTTGGTTTGGACTCAAACAATTAAACTCAGACCCTTTTTCAAGTGGATTCACCTTCCAACAACCGACAACCTTGTGGAAAAAAGACAAACCAACTGACATAATGTGTAGAGATGTGATGTTAGGTTGGTTTACCTGCATTAGATTTACACAAACTTTGTGCTCATTGAGTGAAGCAATCTTCTAAATCTACATAAAATCATTAGGTAACCATGGAAATTATCTCTCGAGCGTGGGCATTTTATCTAAAGCATCAGATTTGTATTATGTACTCTGGGAATTTGGGTAATTCTCTACTGAAAAGCAATGGATTGTTGCAGCTGCACACACAGAGCCCTGCTGATGTTGTATCACAGCACTTATTGATCCCGTTGTTATTTCTGTATAAATATCACCTCATGTTTTTAGGATGTCACTTGGCCTGATACCACCTCATCCACCACAACCAGCAGATTACACAACGTGTCTGTTATTTACTCTTTATTCTTTGCTAAAAAAAATCTGGAATTGATGTATCAGCTGGAATTCAAACACATTTTTTGGTCCAATATAGTAAAATTGTGTTCTGCTAATGTAACTGAGAATCATAATCAAATCAATAAAATAAAGTGTATGTGCTCTCCTCAAACAGTTCTACAATAACTTTTTATTGTGTTTGTGCTGGATGTTGTGTGTAAAGCTTTTTATAAACAGTCTATGGTGCAGTTCATTTTTTTGTTTATACTTTTATAGACATTATTTTAAAAAAATGAAACAGTACTGCTTCATTACTGTTCATGTGTGGTTTATATATATATATATATATATACATATATGTTTGAATGATCTTAGCTATTTCAGAAGTCTGTTAAAAAATCACTACAATCTTAAGACCCAAGTTCGCAACTTTTCAAACTAAAAGCCCTGTTGTCATGACAGAGATCAGTACCTGCACACTCCTGTTATTTCCTGTGTCGGTTTCTTTGTTTGATAAGCAAACAAAGAAACTCTCACTCACACACACACACACACCCACACAGACTGCTACTGAGCACTGCAAGATATACATTTCACAGACAGACAGATATTTGTGGAAATAGTGGGTAGATTATTAGTACTATTATTATTATTATTATTATGATTATGATTATTATTATTATTATTATTAGTAGTAGTAGTAGTAGTAGTATGCCAACACATTGTGATCAGTCACCATAACTGGATGAGTGCATGGCTGATCCCAGTGCAGATGTGTCAACAGTGGTCAGTGTTTGTCAGACTGCTGCTTTTACTTAGCTCCATCATCATACTCTGCATCATGTCATGAACCGAGTCAGATATTTGCTCAGGTATATATGCAACGTGCTCGGAGGCAGCAAATGTTGACAGTGCAACACATTCCCACTTCCGGTGTTAACATTTACGAGCTGAGTAAAAGGACAGAATAACAGAGTCAGAGCATTGCATCTGTATCTCTACTTTGTTTGTAACATGTTGGTGTGAAAGACACTTACAATCAGAAAACAGTACAGTAGAAGATGAATGTGTATACTGATGACTTTAAATCACATCTGACAAGTAGCAATATAAAGTCATGGATGAATGGCTGCCACAGTCTTGATGATTAGTCAGACGCATGAAATCTGCTGTTAAGAGCACTGTGATTCATCATTCATTGTTTCTTTGAAATGCCTCCCTGTCTAATCTGGAACAAGCTGATGATGATCATGTCAAGTAGGCGAGAATGGTGATGGAATATTTGGATTGGTCCATGCGTCATTAAATCATCACAGCTTCTTTTTATTACTTTTGATATTGTGTGACACCAATCTGTAAATCAACTATAATTCTAAGACCCAATAAAGGTGTGATGTGGGCAGGGTTGCTTTTGATGAAGATCCATGGGGAGATGGCTGGGAGACAGATGGTTAATGTTGGCCATATTGACTAAAGACTCCAGCTGCCGTGTGCGTGTGAATGCTGGATGTTTCATGCTGATGCATACGGTTGAGGGAGTCGCATTCAGCTTGTGCCACACGTGACTCAGTGATGGTGACTCACTCCCATGGACACCGTGAGCCCGTCACTGACAATCTGCTGAGTACAGGGCATCATATTTCGAGTTCATATGTGCTCAGTGTGCAAGTAGTCACACACCAGGTGGCAGGCACACTTAAGCTCTGGAAGCCTGAAACACTTATGTCAGTGAAGTAGAGTAACATTTTAAGCTAAAATATTTTTATTTTTGAACTTGGATGCATGTGAACTAAAAAATATAAACATGTTCAGTGTAATATCATCCCATAAGCAACAAAACATAGTAAAGTGCCAGTACAACAGAGAGAAAGAATAAAAATCTACTGAACCTAAAGCTGAATGAACACACTTTAACAGACACTGTATATGCAGATCTGTGTTTGACTATTTCCTACCAGTGTTCAGCTATTTCCAAACTCATGTCATTCCAAGCACATTGCAGAGCAATTAGATGTTTCGTGTATAATATCCACTGTACATCAATTAAAAACACCCATCCATCTCCAAGCTTTGCTGACTCGTGCATTAACCCCATCTTCTTTTGTTTTACCTTACCAACATCACCTGCGCTTCCTCTAATGCTCCCAACATGATCAACGACGGTTTTGTGTGGTTGTGTCTGAGCTAGTTTCTGAATCTGATGCAACAGTATCACTGTTTATGTGAAGACCGCAGTCCGTTACTGAAATGTATCTGTTCACTGTCGTCTACAGTCTGAGCTGTGTAAACACAAGTGCTGCTCCAAACTATATCCTTGTTTAACCACAAAAAGTCTCCACTACAGTGCCTCACATTTTTATTGCCTATATACACACACATCAGAAGCCGTGTTAGTGTGTGCATGACAGAGATTCGGCTAAAATCTGATGAAAGAAACAAAAGAAGAGGCCTGATGCAGAGAGGCAGAGACCTAGTTCCAGTGGTCTGGTCAGTGCTCCGGTGTTTGTGAGGGCTGTGCATGGTTTGACTGGAAACTGAAACAAACAGCAGGCGTAAGGTTAGACAGCTGAGATTGAAGCTAAAGCTCTGTGTGTGAAGTGCATCAGTTTGGAAAACCAAACAGAGGACCAGAATAATGGCTTTGGATGAAAAATGTGTGATGTGGTTCTGCTTGTAATTTCCCAAAGAAAATAATTAAACAGACATACGGATCCTCATGATCCTGTGTGGCTGATCAATAGTTAATTCTGTATTAACACATTTGTTTATATTTTATATCAGATTTGACGACGGTACGTATTGTATGCAGTCTGGTGTAATTTAAGAAAAGCAATGAATTTTGTTATGTGATGAATTCGTGATTGGCCACTGCAGCCAAGCACTTGTTTTTCAAGCTAATGATGTACTATTCTGTCAGTTGATACTTTTGGCCCCATTTCAAATAGATGTTTCTCCTCCTGAGAAACTTTCTGTATACTAG